AGGCATTCACAAATGGAAGATCATCTCTTCACAAAATCATCACTTCTCCACATTCACATATGTTAATTTTGTTTTGGTAGCTATGCTTGAATGAAAAACAATGAAAATGGTTTGTTAGAGAAAATCCATCCAAATAGAAAAAGCAATATCCCCTTATTAAAATATATACATTTCTTGGCTACAAATAATTTTGGCAGGGAGACGCATTCCTCTATTAAATATAAATGAAACATGGACAGTTAACTGGGTATTTTACACAGTGATATTTCAGTTGCATTTCATAAAACTCAGGCTGGCTTTGGAATGAATAATTTACCCAATTAGACTTTTTTTTTCTGTTTTTTTTTCTCCCCCCCTCCATTTTTAATGGATCCTGGCTCTCCTCTTATCTATCTTACCGGTTTAGAAATGGAAATAATCCTATTAGAAGCCAGGTGTGCAATATGAGTGCAAAACTGGTATCAGTTTTTTCAGAATGAGGAGGAAAATATCCTCGGGTTAATCACAGGTTTCTAAGCTGATTTGTGTTATCTGGATTTCACTTAATGCTAATGTCCAAAAATTGAATGAGTTTGGCAGTCTGTTGGTATAGGCTCTAGGCAGGAAGTGTGAAGCTTGGCTTTGGCTGGCTGCTTTATTCTGGTGGGACTGATTCTGGTGCTGCATTTGCTGTGTTTGAGCCTTCTTTGGGCTTAATTTTGCTATAGCTTGTAAATTACTTTGAATTATGATTCAGTGAGGGCTCAGATAGGTAAGAGCTGGCTGAATTCTCCTTTGAAGATGATGGAATCAGTGGAGCTGTGAAAACAACACAGATTTTATATAAATACCTTAAAATCTTGTATGGGCTTCCCACTTTTAATTTACAAATCAGCGACACTGTGGTTGCTAAGTACATGGCACAGGAATTTTGTCTTCCTCTCATCACTTCATTCAAAGGGAGAATTTTCAGATTGTGTCATCCAGGGACATTTTTTACCTTATGCCATTCTAGTGCTTCTGGATGAAGGCTTGCAAATGTTATAGCTATACAACATGTCTATGATGAAACCTGCAGAATTTCAGGTAGGGAAAACACTGGTGTAGACGCAGGGATAAGTGTCTATGGCTAATGTATTAGCGTCAGCTGATCCATGGTAATGGTTTCTGCATACGTTCATAAAATGCAAAATAATTGGAGTGAGTGCTCTTTTAATGCAGGTAAAAGGATCCTGAATTATCTTCCCTTTGCTATGGGCTAAAAGTATGTACACATATTTACTGAAGATCAGATGACATCTCTAACTTGTTTGTGTGCCTGAGCCCTGGGGTGCAAAGAAAGAAAATTACTGGTCTGAGCTTGTGCAGCATCTGCAGAGAACCCAGAGGTCCTGCCTTTGCGCTTCTAATCCCCTCTGTCCTCCCCGCAAGAACATTAACTTCAGCACTAGAAGGAAGCTGGAGTCATGAGTTTAATCTTCATTTTGTTTAAGGATCACATAAACCTAAGGGCACAGGGGAAACAACAATGACATCAATATAAACTAACAAGATAATCTTCATCTTCAAACTGGGTTGGCAGAATAATATGAATGGAAAGGGAGAATCTGTATGGTTTACTTCTGGCGTTTATCTCTGTGTAGGTTTCTTAATTTATCCAGCCTCTCTGCGTTGAGGTGGGGGACCTCCTTTTTTAGAAACTAACAATAAAATTGGAAATTCAGCAAAATCTGGAAGGAATGGCTCTGGAATGGTGAATAATTAGAAGCTTCTGAGATTTATAGCTCAGAATTTGGTTTCAAAGAGGCTTTGGTATACATCGTACACTAATTCAAACATTGCTGTCACTTTTGGGGTCTTTCATTAGCATGTTATTTGTTAATCACTTTTCTCATTGTATCTTGTTTTCAAATCAAATGCAGGTTCCAGAGCCTTGTCTTATACGATGCTTTCTTGTACTCTCTGGGCACAGCCAAGCTAAGTATCTCAAAATGTTAAAGAAATAAGAGATTTTCTCCCCCAAGCTTTGCTGTTGGACTTCCCTTCCTCTTGGGTTGGCATTTTTGCAGTGAAATTTTTCCAATTGTTTCTAAAGCTTCTTCACATGGAGAGGAAGAACCAGATAACTGGGCTTTGGTAAAGGGCTAACAGAAGACAGAATCCTATAACAGAGGCCAATGGTGTGTTTTAAGTAGGGGAGAAAGCAAAATACTCATCTAACATTGTATGATGTAGAGGGAGAGGTGATCACCAGGTGATGTTTATGATCCATTGTAGTGCAAGAGGGCTGGGGGATCAGGTTGTGTGCTGTGGAAGGAGAGGGGATGCAGGGAAGCCATTGCCTGCTTAAATCTATTAGTTCTCACTTGCCTTCTGAAAATCCACACAGTGGGAGTCAGTAGTTCCACACAGCTCTAGTGACAGGGACAATTGTCACAAGAAAGAAAACGAAGCAACAAAGTGGAAGAGCTCCTTTAACCAGCTTCTAATTAGCTTTGAAGTAATCTTCTGTCAGTGTACTAATTTGCAAAAGACATAGTGTGTTAGCACTGCTCATAAAACCCATGCGCATCTCCTACCCAGAACATCTGAGGACACTGTGTCTGCATTCCCTTGATTCTCTCCCCTCCTTGTATACTGTATATTATTAGGTTTTATTGCTATTTATTGCTCAGGTGAATGAAGCCCCAAATCTGTATTGGGTTTGCATGGAAAGGTTTTGATAGCAGGAGTGGCCTCTGTGAGAAGCTGTTAGAAGCTTCTTCCACATCTGATGAAGCCAAAATCAGCTGGCTCCAAGATGGACCTGCTGCTGGAGCAGGGGAAGAGTGTGAGGAGTCCTTCCCCTGCAGAGAAAGAAGGCAATGTGTGATGAACTGACCACAGCCCCCATTCTCCATCTCCTGTACTACTGCAAGGGAAGAGGTAGAGAAAATCAGGAGTAAAATTAAGCCTGCTATGGAAGGTGTAAGGGGAAAGTGTTTTAAGATTTGGTTTTTTTTCTCATATCCTTCTCTGATCTGATTGGTAATAAATTGAACTAATTTCCTCAAGCTGGGTCTGGCTTGCCTGTGATGATAATTGGCGAGTGATTTTTCCACATTCTTAACCCATTTTAATAGCCATAAGAGCTCACCAAAATGGAAGAACAGGAGCTCTCTATCTAAAATATGGTATTTCATGAAGTGTGGCAGATTATTATTATTTTTTAATTGAAATCAAACATTTTTTTAAGAAAACTAAAATATCTATATCCAAATATCCATAGGAAAGGAGTCCATATACCTTCTTTTCTCATTCCACCTACTTATCTGTAGAACATCTTGTCCATCAATCAATGGTCCTCATGGCATTGTCTCTGAAGGGACTGATGTGTCCCCATAATTGTAGCAAAGATATTTTAACCTGGTTTATTTTATAACTTGGTACTGACATCCTGGGACCCTGCTGGCACACACAGAAACCAAGGAACGTCATGCTGTGCCACTTGTTCACACATTGCTGGGCTGAGCTGGTGAGGATTTGTCTTACCATTTGCCTAAAGCACTTATCTGTGAAGGCTCTGCAGGGTATAATGATCATCACCTGAAACCAGTCCTTGGCCAAGACTGGAGTGTTCTATTGTTCATTTAACTGCTTCTTAGGAGATTAGGGTTTTTTCTCTGCTCTGTGATTGCTTCATTGACACCAGCAAAGAAAAGTGTGTGCACATTGCCTGTTTAGTATGTCTCTGTGCACTACTGAGCTCTGTAAGCACCTGCCTTGTGCCCAGAGACCAAGGTTCATGTTCCTGCTTCAAAAATCCTTGGTTGCTTATTCAAAGGGAAAAAGCTCCTGCTTTTTAGAGGGACTGAAAAGACCCGCATCAGAATGAAGTACTTATTTGAGAGGTAAAAAACTTAAAGTCCCCAAATTGGAAAGACAAGATCTAACCTTTGTCTTCTGCATATCAAGCAGTTTTCCCCACTGTCAGCTTTTAAGCCACCCTGGAGTGATGTCTCTTGGACCAAAAACGCCATTCTGGTGTTAGGAAAACTGAAGTGAAATCTCTTCATCCTAAAAAAAATGTTTGTGTTGGATTAAGTCACGTTTTCATGTAGAAAATATTTTGCTGGAAAACTGTCATCTAACCCTCTACTCAACTTCTATACCTGCTCCTCCTTGTTTACCGAGTCCTTTGATATCATTCAGCTGAAGCTAAAAGTGGACTCTGTGCCCTCCTAGGAATTTGAGCTACAACTACAACTGTACTACGCGTGTCTTGTGGAGCGGGGTGTGAACCAGGCTCTGTTACACTATACTTGTATTCAGAGATAGGCAGATGTGAATCACTGCAGTGGCCTTTGGAGCAAACTCTCCCCTAGACCTGTGGATGTGGCTTTCCTCCCTGGCCTTTGCCGTGCAGCCATGGGATGCCCCTCTGGGGGTTATCCCTGCACTGCCTATGGACACAGCAGCTGGCACTCAGGAGAACCATTGGGGTTGGAAGCTGAAAGCCGTCCTCGAGGCCGGGTGAAGCCGCTCCACCTGTCCCTCATGCCGGGTGTATCTTCCGTTCGTTGTCAGCGCTCGTTAAGACCGAGGGCATCTCCCTCTGCTCTGCCTTCTGTGGGTCTCCGATTTCACTGGAGCAGAGTCAAACAGAGACGAGTCCACGCAGGGTCTGGAACGGATCAGCAGGTCAGCTGGGAATGCCTGTCAGGCAGCCAGCCTGCTCCCTCCCTTCTCCCTGGCTTTCTTTGAGGTTTGTAGCTCTTCTGCTTTCTTGTTGCTATTGCCACCCTCCCCACACTCCCCCTGCCACACACCAAGCACCCAGACCTTTCCTGAGCACTTTACTTAATCCCTGGGATTCTTTATATAGGGATTAATCTTCTCGTCACAGTGGGAGAGCTCGGAGGGAGGGGGTACATTTATCTCTCCTGCTGAGGTCTAGAGTTGCATTGCTGTGATTATTGGTGGTAGCAGTGTGCATGTGTCTGGGGATCTGTGTTTAGCTTCTTCGTTTCTTAAACGGCACAGGGGCAGCAGCAAGGCAAGTTGGCAGCTTTGCTTTCTCGCTGCATTGTGTCTGCTGCTAGAGAGTGTGAGTGGGGAGCAGCATGGCAGAACAAGAAGCCAGTGGCTTGCAAGTCCTTCTCTCCACCCTCCAGGTAAGAACAGCTTGAACTAATGAGAGAGGTGCTTGGGCTTGTTTTCCTCTTTAATTCACCAGCAGCGACTTGTTGGGCTGAGGTTGTTCATACAAGCTCCGCGCTGGCTTGTCTCTAAACGCATCTAAACGCAGGAGTCCTGACCTGCACCTCCCACCCCAAAAAGCCTTTATGAGACGAAGTTTCACTATTCAGAGGCACACGCTGGCAATTACTGCTATGCATCAATCACTGATGAGGGCAGAGGCTCGGCTCCCCACATCTTGCTGCGTGCAGAGGGGGAGCAAGGGAGGTGTGAGGAACAGGCTGCTTTGCAATGAATGGGACCTGACAGCGCTGTCAGTATGTGAGGAGGCAAGACCAGTGCATGCCACTACTCTGAGGGCTCAGGGGGGCGAGTAAACAGATCTGCCTGGAAGCAGCAAGTTCTTCCCTGTCAGACTGACTTCACCAGGACCCTTAAGCACTCATGGGGAAGTGACAAAAACTCTACAAGTTGATATCAGTGAGGCACTGGGTGTGCTCTGCGAATGCTCCTGAGGAGCAGAGGGAAGTGTCCCAGTCCAGGATCATACCTGTTGGTCAATCTCAGCTGCAGGATGAAGGAGAGGCTTCTCTTCCTCTGCCTGTAGGTGATCCCCGTGGTTCTGCTTTTCCCCAGCAGGGATGCGCTCCTCCTGTTTTTGCAGGATGTCTAAGTTGAGGCATGAACTACCTTAATAAATGTCATGTGTGTTTTGGGAAGGAACCCGTGCTTTCATAAGCCATCATTTTGTCATGAGGGGTGGTCAAGAATTGCTTTGTCAAAACAAGCTGCTTGCATAGAAAGCAGTTTTTAGATAGTTATGGTGAAATGAGGGTTGTCTGTTCTGTTTTGAGCCCCACAACAGCAGCGTCCACTTACTGCAATGTGTGCTGGTGAAATCTCACACATTGCAGAAGCAGAAAATGAGGGATAGGGTGTGTAAACAGGACTTACCCACCCGGATCAGCCCAAAGTTCCATATCTTTCAGCCTCATGATTTAGAAGGTCACTATGACCAGCCCCAAGTGTGTAGAGGAGGTTATAAACCCCCATGATATGCAATTGGCTTCACAACTATAGTTGCGGGGCTGATCAGTCTTGGCATTTGGATCCAAGCTTATGTAACTGTCAACAACTTCAATTTCTTATTCTATTGTGAAACTCTGCTTTGCCCTCTATGGCACCCTATAGCAGTGAGCTCTGCTGGTAAATGGGCACACTGAAGAAAACTCTCCTACTGTCCTTTTATTTGCAGGCAGTGTAACTTGCTTGTCCTGTGTTCTTACAGCTTATTTAATATATATTTTGTACTAGATCACATTTTTGCTGTATTGAAGTTACAGTTCTCTCCCTATTAATTTGGCCAATTGAATGCTGAGTGTACATCTCTTTTTTTCTTATGCTCTAACATTAACTGTTCTGCTTCTCTCCGAATAATCTGGAACAGAACTGGACAAGGCCCAGGATTAAATTGGAAGCTGTAGTTTTGAAGTCACATATGTGATTCATTGACAAAGCTACATGCGGGGCTAGACTAGAAATAGATAGGAAAGCTGCAGGTGAAAGAGGTGATGGCATTGGTAAATCACAAGGTAGAACAGTATTCAACCCTGGTATTACAGATCTAACCTTGATACGATACCCATGTTTCCCAAAGTTCTGTATTCACTTAGAGAAGAGCAAAAGGCTTTCTTGCTGTAATTTCAATTGAATGCAGAGGTCTGAGTGCTAGAGGACAGAATGCAGGTGGTTGATGACAATAACAACACCTGTATGATCTGATTCACGTCCTTCTCCTACCTCCAGCCAAAACATTACCACCATGGCTCTGTAGCACCATCACTTACCTCTGCTACAAAAATCAGGTGATAAAATCACCTTTACTTGGCACAGTTGGAAAGCAATGGCCTGGGAAATAATACTTGTGTTGATGTTTGCTTTTGCTGATACCATCTCTCCACACTTCGTTATTTTCTGCAACAGCTGTCCAAAACATGGCTGTTTTGTTTTTGTGTCCCGCTGGACTGTCAGTGCTGGTTCATAATCTTTTATTGGGCATGAAGAACATGTCTGCTGCATACAGCAAGCTATTCTGCAGGATATTACTGTGCATTTTCCATTTCTGTTAGCACATAATACTGCTTTGTATGCAGAAAGCTTTCAGGTGAACAGTGAAGGAACATTTAGCCATGAAGCCACTCTTTATGAACCTAAGAATAAAAACATCCTTTCTCCTCCAGTCACTCACACAGGGCTAAATTTCTTCCTCCCTTTCAAGTGCTGACACAAATTATTACCCTTAGTTGGATGAATGTCCCCACCTGAGATAGTGTCTATCACCTTCAGCCAGGGGAGTGGCTCTCCTATCTCCTCCAGGCATAGACTCTTACTCCTAGTCTCACAGCCTGGTTTTGCTAAGGATGGTGTCAAGCGGACCAAAACTGGAACACTGTGGACTTCATAACTGAACTCGTGGTCTAGTCAAGTAAAGAAACACATTTAGTTTCTGAGTTCTTCGACACTGTTCCCAGTGCGATATAGGAGCGTGATCCTCCAAAGACAGCTCAAAAGTGCACTGTGTTACAGATGTTCAGAAAAGTGACAAGGTGAAAGGCAAAAAAACTGCTTTCAAAGTGCAGCTGCATTTTGTCACCAAAGTGTCACTGCAGGCAAGACGTGACATTTCAGATCTCTAGGTAAAATGTGCTTCGTGGCTTACAAGGTGCAGCTTTCAAATGTGAATTTCAGATGTAAGAAAAGCCTATCGTTGTCTCACAGGGTTTGTGTCAGTGTGGCAGAGCTGAGCCTTTAGGAGAGTTTGCTGTAGTTTGTCATTTTGCTTTTAACCCTGTCACCTTCTTTGCTCTCTCTTCTTGACTCTCTCACTTCAATGTGCTCCTACATTATCACTGCCCGTCTCTCTGGCTCAGATGGTGTTACCCAGTCCTGTCCCCATCTCTTACTGCATGCCACCAACCTCCTCACCTTGCATCCAGCTCTGCTGTCTTTCATATGAGGACACTGAAGTATACACCAAGGCTGGGCTGGTCACTAGTTCTCACCCTGCTCCTTGGCCGCAGTGTGGCAGATACAGACAACCTCCGCATGTATGGTTTTTGATCAGGGATAAAAGGCTGACATTCCATTCTACAGGCAGCCTCCTAATGCAAAATCCCAGAGAGACTTGGGATTAAGTCTCTTGTTTGTTTTAATGCCAGGAGGAGGTATCTGGGTGTTAGTTAAAAGCAGCTGTTAGTTGCTAAGTAGAACAACAGAAAACTGAAGCCACCATCTTTCACTGTGTCCTAGACTAGTGAAACCCTTTAGACAGTACAGCATCCTAGTTCCTCCTCCTGCTTGTTCTGGCCCTCATCTCATTTCACTCTCTAACCAGCTAGCTAAATAAGAAGCATTTTGTTTCTTTCCCTGCTTTCTCCCTGCTTTCTTCCTTGCTTGTGAGGCCCAGGCAAGAGCCTGTCTTGGTTATCACTGAGAACATCTCCTTATTCCATGGCAGCATCTATCGTGTCGCTTGAGGACTCACAGATTTCCTGTTGGCTCTCAGCATGTTTTTCACATGCTTCCTGAAGCCACAGTCCCCGTTCACATATTCTGCAAAGCTGGCAACCCCTGGGGCTGTTGGCAGATCTTTGGCTCAAACTGTGTCCTACTATGTTGGACACATAGTGTGCACAGGTTCCCAAACACTGTGGTTTGAAAGGAAAGAGGTGAAAATCTGATGTATCAGTGGAGGATGTTGTTTGGGTAAAGGGATTTCTCTCTCAATGGCTGTAGTACCTAGCAGGGAACAGATACAAGTTCTGCTGTTTGCTAACTTGAACCTCTCTGTTCCTTTGCTCTGCCTCTTTTGAGCTGTTCTGCTGGCTGGCCGACAAGGTAGTTCTATTGTTATCCTAAAGACAAGTGGGAAGATATCTATGCTGCTTCAGTGACAATGAATATAAACATATTTTGCAAAATGTTTTTGTCTCCTCTGCATCCTTGTACTTACTCTGTCAGCAGAGCTGCTGAGATTCCTGGCACTGAGCAAAATAGGTGCAAAAAATCCCAGGAATTGCTCAGCAAGCAGCATGCCCACTGGTTTAGGCTGGGAACGGAAGGGCTGGAAGTTTGGAACTGTGGTTTTGGGAGGCAGTTCGGCAGGCAGAACTTAGTGTAATAGCCTTAGAGGGAACAAAAATCAACACAAAACCAGATGGCCATTTTTATGTGGTTCATTAACTGAGTTTTACCGAGATTGTTGTACCCAAGGTGAACAGCAGCAGACTTAGTGTCCTCCTATTGCTCACAAATATTGTTCTAGCTTGGGAGCTGCAGAAGTAGTGCAGTCAGGGCAGTGAGACACTTGGATATAGAGTTCAAGGGGAAAACCCTTCATGGGGTAACACTGGGAGCTCCAGCAGCTCTTTCATGTCTCTGCTGCCAAAGCCACTTATGCTGCATGAGCCTGTTTTCTGCTTTAACTGTGGAAGAAAAGGAGTAATTCTCTGCAAACAATCCTATAGAAGTAAGGCAGGCACCCACCCCAGTTTGTTTTTCCCACTTCAACTGTCATCTCTTCCCTGTCCAAGGAAAACCTAAAGGTAACCCAGAACCTTTCCTTACAATTCTTGGCTCACCAGCATGGGGCACTGCTAGCAAGGAAGAAGAAAGTAGGCTAGCATGCATGCATTAACCCCAAATTCCTGCCAGGCCACAGAAGAAATAGTGAGGATTGACACTCTCGTGAATCAGTGCAGAACACCCAAAGCCCTCAGAGGAAGCTGAAGCACATCTTCGATGCTGCTGAAACCCTTCCATCAGTTGAGCTGGGACCCAGATTTCACTCTGTGTCCCCAGGCTGGCTGCAGCTGTTCCTCTGAACACAATGCCAGCTGCTCTGAAAATGCCTCCCATTGGGTTATGCAGAATTTGCTGCAACTGAATTAATGAGAATTCAGGACCTCGGGGTGCA